AAGACTACTTTCTCATTGGAATAGAGGGTGCATTGAGCTTTGCCCATCGAAAAGAGAGGCGATTCCTATAACCTTTAAAAATTTTTCAAGAATTTGCTTGAGCCAAGATTTAAACACCTAACTCAAGCAAACCCTTAGAAGCTCAATTTACCACTTGAGCTGCCCTTTGGGGGGTTTGTGTAAATTTTTTTTTAAGAGTGTGAAGACTTATTAAAAAATTTAAATGATATAGACCTATTCAAAATGTTAATAAAACTATAGAAGCTTGTAAAGAATTTAAATGATAGGATAATATTGATTTATAACAATTTACATAAGCTGTTTTTAATAAATATGAAACAATGTTACCCCGTTTTAATTTATAAGAAAAATAATTTATAATTTTCAGAATTTATAAAAAAAGCTTTGCTATTACAAAATTTTACATTTAAGAAAGAAATTACATTAGAGAAATGTCCCCCTTTTTAAAAATTATTCATTGTTAATAACATAAATGAGGAATCGTGTAGTGAAGATTTACTGGTTCTCATGTTATCTAAGATAATTTATCTCATGTAATACATAAAAAATGAGTAAGCTCATTTTCTTACTCTCTTTTTCTTAATGGGTTCTAATTATTTTTTTATGTGGTACATAAGATAAATTATCTCATTTAACGTGAAAAACAATATTCTAAAACTTAAACGCAATTTGTTTGTTTAGTACATAATAGAAAGAGTAGGGTTATGCTTACCAAAAAAAAGAAAGAGTAGAGTTATATTGACAATTTTTTTTTTTACAAACTACACTATATCTGATCAGTAACACTCTACTCAAGAGTGTCTTATCAATTAGATATAATGTAATTTATAAATAAAAAGTTTGTAAATATAATCTTCTGCTAATAAAAATTAATAAAAACTACACCCAACCAAAAGCTACACTGGCCATATCAGAAATGGGACGGATATGTGCATATTTCGTTTATGGATCCCACTATTAGATATCGATTCAACTTTATTTTTTTAAAGAGTTTTTCAACTTTTTGTTTTAAAATTGTACAATGAAGAAGAAAATTATATTTATAAATTTTTTATTTATAAACTCTTACCAATTATATTGTATATTCTTAAAAATATACTAGGTTACATTATATACTTTCGGAAGTATATAATATAATTTACAAAATTTTATAAAAAAAAATTGTAAACGAATCCTTTCCCAGGTATATATATATAAATGAACATAGCGCATAAGGGTGTTCGCGGTCTGGATTGGATCGGTTTTAGAAGCAAAACTCATCCGATCCAATTCTTTCGGTTTAATCATTTAATCATCCATTCGGTTTATATTTTTTTTCAAATTCGATCTGATCCAATCCAAATTTTTTCGGTTTGGATTGGATCGATTTTCGGTTTTTTTAATATCCTAAAATTAGTTTCATGATTATTGTGCAAATAACATCTTTTGTATATATTGGCTTTGCAATTTTTTTTTTCGAAATACAAAAATATCAGTAAACAATATTATAGTTGATGAGAGGTGACTAAATTTTTTCTTGAGTTTAGTTGATGAGTTAATGGGTCATGGGTTTAGAAATTTTTGGAATATAATTGGGGAAATGACCAAGTAGGTAGAGGAGAATTAATATATTGGATCGGTTGTCATTGGATCGGTTTTCATTAACCCATCCGAAAACCGATCCAATTCAATTAAAATTTGCGGTTTTTTTCGGTTTTTGGTTTTTTCGGTTTATTCGATTCGATTTTCGCGGTTTGAATCGGTTGATGAACAACCCTAATAGCGCATTGTAATTGGGGATGTGAATATGTGTACTTTTTTTAATATTTAATATAATTTTATTGATTAACTTGTTTTTAATAGGTCAAATGCATCATAAATAACTCTAATTTATTAAATACTTGAATCCTTAGGAAGCGGATCCATAGCTAAGGTTAGGTATAAAATTTTACATTCATCATATATATATATATATATATATATATATATATATATATATATATATATATGAGGTAGGATCCTTTGACACCGGTGTCAAATTTAAATTTTGACACCTCATCTCAGAGCCGTTAGATCAAAAAAGATCAACGATATATATGAGGTAGGATCCTTTGACACCGGTGTCAAATTTGAATTTTGACACCTCATCTCAGAACCGTCATATATATATATATATATATATATATATATATATATATATATATATATATATATATATATATATATATAGGTAGGATCCTTAGACACCGGTGTCAAATTTGAATTTTGACACCTCATCTAAAACCCGTTATATCAGAAATTATCAATGGTGTCACATGCTTACAAATGACACCATTGATCTTTTTTGATCTAACGACTCTGAGATGAGGTGTCAAAATTGAAATTTGACACCGGTGTCAAAGGATCTACCCCTCTCTCTCTCTATATATAAATATAGGTTTACATTTAACTGTACGTATAACAATCAAATACTTGCCATATATATATATATTTAAAAGCATTAAATACGGGGCATCATAACCATACAAAATATGAAAGCATTAAATATGAGGAATCATTACCATATACCTGTTGTTGCTATATTTAAAACGGTTATAGAAATAATTTTACCTATATATATATATATATAGACAAAATATTTTTATACCGATTTAAGAATAAAAAGTCTTACATTAAACCTTGAGATTGATTTACATGTATATAACCGCTCAAATACCTTTTTTTGGAGGTGTCAAGGAATTGAACACAACACCCTACACTATACACACTCCTAACACACACACCCCACACCGCTCAAATACCTAATAAGTCAGAACCATTATATATAAATATGTAATAATTCAGATTGAGAGTGAAATTTACATCAATATAAAATGATCTTTTATCATATATATATATATATATATATATATATATATATATATATATATATATTTGTTAGTTGTTGATGTTAACATCACGATTATCATTATGGATCAGGATTTCTACTTGATAATAGATTTTTTTTATACATAATTGATGATAGACTTTACCTCATACTGCAAATGTGTCCAATCGGAATACATTTTGTTTATGATGTACCGATCATTGGGTACATTAAAAAAAAAACATTTATACTGTATTTATTTTTATTGTTTTTTTTTTTTCTGTTTTGATAAAGAAATATATACTCGTGTTACGTTGAAAATATGCTCAATAAATACATCTTGTGTGAATGCATTACGCGTAGGCATAAAGTAGGACCTACGGGAGCATTTGCATAGCTAGGTATAGAGCCTATCCTAGTTGAATTCCATATTTTTTGAGTTTATATGGATGCCTATAAACAAATGCATTTGCTTAAAAAAGTATTTGTTATATTATAATCATCAATTAATGCTAAAAAAATGTAAAGAATAAAGTTTATCTAATTTATGTCTTGTTAACTTATCTCTTTTGAAGCAAATTACATTTTCCTTCAACACTTACTTCTCATTTCGTAATGTCATTAATTGACTCGGTAATTTATTTCGCATGCTTCTATCTGGATGGATTCTGTTCAGATATGCCATTTCCAGATTTGTTTAAGGATTTTATATTTGTTATATTATATAATCCAATTTTACTTTCCTACACACATAATAAAAAAATAAAAAATGAAATGATGGAAGAAATATATATGAACTTCACTTCTTTAATATGTATGTAAAAAAACAAAATTGATTCATGAAACATAACAAATATATAACATTTTGTTTAAGGAAAAAATATTTCTGCAGTTAATGCAAATAAGTTACCTATATTTACTTTTAAAATAACGTCATTTTGATATTGAAAAATTAAAAAATTATAATTATAAAGACTATAATAACCCTGAAATAAATTAAAATTATAAAATACCATAATTTTGATCCAAAATAACATCATATTAACTTTAGTACAAATAACTTATCCGCAGAAAAATCGAATCTTTGTTTAATTTACAAGTATCCTGTATGGATTTATTTTATGTGAATGCATTTGTCATGCATATTGGCCACTTACCGAGATGAAGCCTATTGGTGGGCCCTATATTCGGTGAGTTTGAATAGATAACCAAGAAAAGATGCATTCGAATTCAAAACTTTATTATAATCAATTAATGCAAAATAAAAAATTGAAGAACTAAATTTATGTAAATTTAATCTTGTAGAACTCACTTACATCATTTTGAGGGACCAAATTACATTTTTTTGGATAACGCTCATTACATTTATTCTCGTTATTAATAGACTTTACTATTTTCCTTTATGAGTTCAGCCCTATCCAAAAGTCTAAGGCTAAGTTAGATACATTATATCAGAACGCGTTCGATGCAGATTTTAAAATTTGCAATGCTTTATTTATGCTTATTTTTTTAATGGACGAATCAGTCCTTCTGTCTTTCTTATTTAATTTTTACGATTGAAAACTATGAATAACAATTTTCGGAGAAAAAAATAAAATAAAAAATGGAGTGAGACGATGAAGTTGGAAAGCGCGTGATAACATGGAGTGATGAGTGATCGCGTATGGTGGTTCGTATGCGCTCGCTCTTACAGCAGAATCTTTGTTTCATATGAGTACACGAGCGTGGGCATAGCATAATAGATCATACTACAAATCTAACATTAATATTTAATAATACAATACAATACATCCCCCGCAAATTATATATTTATTTATTTGGTGCGGCAAGACAACTTAAATAATGAAAATAAGTTACATGGAAAGAAAAGAATAAAGAGAAAGAGTTGAAATAGTAACAATTAAATGAGAGAGTATTATTGATAATTAATAATTAAAAATAATATTTCTTTTTTCGCTGGGTCTCTTCTTCTTATTGTGTATCTGTCGTCATTCTAGAGCCCTCTCTTACAGACACACACACACACACACACACTCACTCTCTCTCATACGTCGCTTTCAGTCATAAATTAGGGAAAAGCAAGCAGACAGCTACACACAACACACTTCCCCCATTTCTCCTCTTCTTCTTCTCTCTCTTTCTCTTCATCCATGTTTCTCTCTCCCCCTCCTCCTCCACCTTCACCTTCTCCTCTTTCTTCTTCTCTCTCTGTGTGTGGGTGTGATTACTGATCATGGCGGCTAGGTATGATGGATTCTGCATAAGGTATCTTATTCTTATTTATTGTTTGCCTTCGGTTTTTCGCTTTTAATACAATCATATCATAACTCTCTATTATTGGTTTTGATTTGGTGTTGCAGGGACTACACATCTAAGATGAGGTCCATCGACGTCTTCAAATGCTGGCCCTTCACAACCACCACCTCACGTGACGTCACACGCGAGGAAGTTCAGTCATGGCTTCCGCCCATGACTCGCTGCCCTAGATCCAACCATAACGACGCTCAAAACCCCGAGAATCAGCCCTCAGCTAGGGAAGTTTCTAGAACCGATGATGATGTCGATGATGATGATGATGACGATAACTGCAGCCAAGACTCGGCGAAATCAGAGAAGTCAGCTCCTCCTTCCACCGCTGATACAGCCGCAGACGACGAGAAATTGGAGATGGTCTGTCCGGTTTGCCGTGAATTCAACGCCGCCACGCTTACGGCTGTGAACGCCCACATCGACGGCTGCCTTTCGCAGTCCATGAGGGAGGAGCGTCGCCACATGAGGATGATGAATTTGAAACCGTCATCGAAGTCTAAGGCGCCGAAGAAACGCTCCATCGCCGAGATTTTCAAGGTGGAGGAGGAGGAGCAGGAGAAAGAGCAAGAGCAAGAGCAACAGAAAGAGCAACCACAAATCGAGAGCGTCTTGAAATTCTGGCCGTTCCATGAGGAGGATGGTACTGACGATGATGTGTCGAGTACAGTTACTAAGTTCCAGTGGCTGTCTCGCCGCCTCGAGGCGCTGAGATCCAACCGCGGAGGCAGCGAATCGGCGAAATCGGACAAAGGAGACTCCGCGGAGGAGGAGAAGTTGGAGATGGTTTGTCCTGTTTGCCGAGATTTCAACGCCGCCACCGTTACCGCGGTGAACGCACACATCGACGGTTGCCTCGCGCAGGCCGTCAGGGACGAAAGACGTCAGATGAGGAGGACCTGTTCGAAGCCCAAAACCAAGCTGCCGAAGAAGCGCTCGATCGCTGAGATTCTCACAGTGGCGCCGCCGATCGAAGCCAGCAAAAGCAAGGCGATTGAGGTTGAGGAAGATGAAGACAAATCAGATTATTGCGGTGGGGATTCAAGCGCTGTTGCTGATGCTGATGCTGATGCTGCTGTCGTTTCGGTAATCAAGAGCAAGAAGAGTACGAACAAGAATAGGAAGACGAAAAAGACGAAGAAGGCGAAGAAGAAGAAGAAGAAAAGCAAGGTGGAGAAGCTTGGTGATAGTGTTGTGTCCCTGAACAATGAGAACAAGACGATTGTGAACAAGAAGAAGAAGAGGAAGAAGAAAAGGAAAAATGTCTTCAACAATGAGCTGACTGGGAAGAAGGTATGTGGGTTATGTCTCATAAAATATGAGTTAATCTTTCGTTATATGCAGTCTGTTTCCATGTTTTGCAGCTAATTCATGGCAACTAAGGATACAATTCATGATATCTGCGCATAAAATATTACCCGATACTGTAGGTTTGGTGTTGTCGTAGTTGTTTATGCCATGCGATTATAGCTTTCCTATGTCTGTGTGTTGCTTTTTCTGCATAAAATTACCGTTGAAAAAGCTGATTAGAGAGACAGCTAAACATTTGTGGACGAAAGTGAGTGGTTTTTTGTTTAGTACTTGAGCGAAAATACGCGGTAAGTAAAAGGTGGGAATAGGGAGTTAAAAAAAGGAAAATTAAGACAGGTGACTTCATGCACGGAAGGAATTCACAAGGTAGTGAAGGGGCTGCGCCTGCAAGAATGTTGCTCCATCAGTACAAGTACCTTAGCTAGAAGGGGCCACTCATGGGTTACGAGGTAGAAGAGCTGAGCCTAATGATGAGGGGTTTCCCTGCCCCCGTCACTGTTAACTAATAATTTGGGGGGAATTATCATGTGGGCCATGGGTAGATCAACAGATTCTCATCTCTTGTGGCTAGTTTTTCGGACGTAGATGTTTATACACACAGCTTAGAGCTGGATATGTTTTGGCTAGTTGGAGATCTGTAATTAATTGGAGGTCCAGAATTTGATAGGTAATTTATTTGGTGTCAGAAGTTTATATAGTGATTTGGATTGATTAATGTTTGCATATGCAATTCCAGATGGACGTGTATCATCAGATAAAAAAAATACTCTGACTTGGGTTGATATAGATCATTATCGCATGGGCGTATCTTTTGACGTGTTTTATGCAGTAACCATCGCGGCTCACGAGTGAAAAGAGTGGGTTGGGGGGTTTCATAATATATGATTTCTGATCTTATTCTGAAAGTTTTGGTCTGTGGGAAGAAGTACTTGGATGTATCGGTCAACAAAAGTTAAGTGACTGGTATTTTGTACTTATTTATGAGCAGAAAATTTTGAGATACAATCAATTCGAAGTGAGTGTCTATCAGAACACAGTCTAGTAGAGTATAAAGAGCCATGGGTAAGAGAAGGCCCCAAAAATAATGTCTATTCATGGTAATTCCAGTCATGAACACGATGATGATATGGGACGATCTTGCTGCTTACTGTGTCCCTAGATATGTAATAGATAATTAAATGAATAACATTTGTGAAGTGAAATATAAAACTGGACTGTCCGTTACTGTTTGAAGAAATGGCATCTGTAGTATTGTCTAGATTGTTTTTCTTAACGTTTCTAGACTAACCTTAGTTAATATTTTATTTTCCAACAAGGTCCTCAAACTCTGATTATCTAATCATAATAATTTGTTGCCCTGCCTATCAATGTTTTTCAAGATTAAATTAGATAGAATTTTTCGGCATGAGATTCTACAGTTAAGCCACAGCATTTTGAATGGGGATACATGAAACACGTAATACAATTTCTATAGAAGTGTATTATATGTGGATATCAAAAGTGCGCATTACATAGATGTTTAAAATTTATTGAGAAAAATGTTTAAGCATCATGGTTCATGCATTTGCCATTGTCCATCCCTTCTCTTTTAGTAAAATTCATTGAGAGAAAAGTATTGGTTAATGCCCTACTATTTTTATTTTTTAATTTAAATAAAATAGATGCCTTACTTTAGGATTTTCTTTTTTTATTCAACCTCCAATTTCATAATAAGGGGCACTTCTCATTTTAAAGGATCGATTAATTTGTTTTTGAATTTGCCTTCTAAAAAAGAAATAAGACATGAATCGTAAAAATATATTTTATAGTAATTATTTTAACCACAGTGAGATTGCATAATTTTAAAATCTCTACTGATTGTTTATCCTAACAATATTTGCTGCATAGATGCATGTGTTTTTTCGTTAGCTTCTAACACCATATAAACAAAGATCAGAATGATATATTGCTATAAAAATGCATTTTTTACTAGGGTATTAGTTTTAGAAAGAATCTCTTCTGATTTCTTCAAACAAAAGATTCCCTACATGATTCCTCAAATTGATCAGATCATTTTATGACTAAATATATGAGGTTGTCATTACAATTTTTGGTTATTTTACCCTAAAGTGAAATTCGGAACTAAAGTAGTAGATTGTTGTTAGAACTTAATAGGCACTGAACTGAAAAGTTTTTCCTCCTGCTAGTGTCTACTTACAATATCATTAATATCTTTGTAGTATATAAGTATTTTAAGCTCAAGCTTTCCGTTACAACTAGGATTTTCAAAATATTATGCGTCAAATTGTACAAGCTTATTTAACTTTCTATTTAGTAAGTAAAATCAATTTTAGGGATGTGTAGTTTCAATTAATAAGTAAAAGCTTTAATAGATTTTTTTATGTGTTATGGAATAAGATTTTGAATTGAAGCTCTAATGCATTCTGCTAGCTGTTATATGCAGTTTCATATATAATTACACCTACTTATAGTTAAATAAATGGGATAGATTATTCTACCTACTTTTTTTTTCTACCTACCTTTATCTACCACTCTCCAACACTGTTAGATCAGAATCTAAAAAGGAGAGAGAAAAATAAATGTTAATTAAGATTATGATCTAATAGTTTTTTAGAGTGGTAGGCAGAAAAAAAGATAGGTAGAATAACCTATCCCTAAATAAATAATTATTTTAAGTGTTAAAAAAAAATTATTTTAAGTGTAAGCTTCCATTCGCACTTAGTATTTTTAACAATAATATTTTAACAATAATATGTAAGCACGTGTTTATGAAACAGATTCTTGGCATCACTCTACATGAAAAGCTGTTGTGTGTTACTGATCTTATTTATTTTCGTCATCTTTCATTCCTTTAAATTTTGGTAATGCAGTAACTTTAAACTGATGACAAAAATTTCATATAGTTAAGAGCACCTAACTGATGCTTTTAATTTGTTGGCGTTTCTGTGCCATTTTATTTATTTATTGCTGAAAACTCCTCCTGAAAAGAAACTGTATATAAAAGCTACAAAAGCTGTTATTACAAATATGTTTTCATTAGTATGGGATTGGAGATACAGCGAATTGCTTTCACACTGCCTAAAACTCAGTCAACTTATTGAGATTGTGTTATAATAGAAAATAACTAATTTTGTTAATCTTGTCTATATCAGGAAGATGCTTACAAGTGCATGGTGCAAACTCCAGTAAATAGTTCTAGAAAACTAAAAGGTACAATTGGTAATAAAATGGTTGCCCTTGATGACATTGATCCTTCTGTTTATAGAAAGAAGTCGAGTTTAATTGGCTTATCCATTGAAAATAAGCAAGAAGTTAAAAACTGCGACTCAGTTGGAAAGCAACAAAAAGCTGTATCTCCTGTTTGTGGCATTCTTAAGAACCACTTAAAACATGTTTCTGGAACTACATCCAGTGGCTGTAATATTCGAGATGGTACTGAAGAAAGCCATTACAATGATCAAGTGGCAACCTCAGACAGAAATGTGAGATTCTCTGGTAAAGATGGCATACTTAGCCCAAAAAGGAGAAATTCATTTTGCGAAACCATGTTCAACATATCTTCAGAAGTGCTGGCTACTTCATTAGTAAAGGAGCAGTCCTCTGGAAGTGATGAAGAAACTGCAAGTTTTGAGGCAAACAGAAATTATGACCACATTGCCATTAATACAGACGAAGACAAGAGAAAGGAGGTTTTCCCTATAGTTGAAAGTAAACAGTTTTCTAATACTCTGGAACAAGTTACTGTACGAAATTTCTTGAAGCCGTGTACCAATCAAGAGAAATCAAAGCACTTAGAAGAGAAGTCTGAATTATTAACCAAGGTGGCAGTTTGTGACAATAATTTACAGCGTTTTGATGGGGGCAACACAACTACACTGCATTGTTCTCCATATGCTGACATTTCTAGACCTCTTTCTGCAGTTCAAGAAGTGCAGATGTCTGGTATAAATACACAAGTGTGTGAATCTGGAGCTTTCTGCTCCAGTGGAAAGTTCATTGACCATTTGGAGGATCCGACTTTTCAGGTTGATGCTGTGAGGTCAAATGCAAATACAAAGACATTTCTGGAGCCTTCATCGTCTTACTATGCTTCATATAATAAAGCAAATGAAAGATCAGAATCTCCATTACAAACTTATGGAGATAATGGTAATAGTGACCAGGCCTTGGGTGACGGACAGTTGTCTAATATGTTTTCTTCTGATATGATTGATAGCTCATTCCCCTTTACAGGCTGGGGGAAAAGAAATAGCTGTTTGGATCCCAACTTTTTTGGTTTGCCACTCAATTCTCATGGTGAGCTAATCAATTTCAGTTCAAGTGGAAAAGTAGGGATGAAACAGCCGGAGACATCAAGTACATTACGAGATTCTCTAAGTGGCTTACCCATTAATAATATGCTCCGTCAAAATAGCGAGGAAAATTTAAGCATGAATGAGAGGCATGTTGTTCGGAGGACATTTCCAAAAGATGGTCTAAATCCGTTTCCACATGATCCAGCCAGGTTAGCTGCCACTGAGTTCCAATGTAGTGAGAGAGAAGATATCCACTGGCCTAATTCTGATATGTGTTCTAGTCACCATGTCCAGTCACTTGATTCAAAGTTAAACCTCAAGAAAAACTTGTTCATTGAACAGAATCAACGTGGCCGGGTGCGGAGCCACAATGGAAATGGGATGATTTCTCAGAAAGAATGTTCAGATCACATCTCACTAAGTTCTAGCCAACCAACAGTGAGGTTGATGGGTAAAGATGTTCCGATTGGTAGAAGCAACAATGAGATGCAACAATTTGCTGGAGATGTTTGGACTGATGAGGGATCCAGAAGAAAGCATTATTCTGAATATGCTGCTTTAGAAAATTCTTTCTTGGGAAGATGTTCTAAGCAGGATCGGGTATGTGGTTCACCATTACAAATATCAACTGACAATTCATTGCACTCAGCAAAGACTCAAAGGAATCAGGCATTACAAAGCACCATATTGATGAATGGTACAGACTCTGGATTTCCTCAACAGTTTATCGATCTACAAAGTAATCATGTATCTCAAAACGGTAGTCTTGGAGTCAGCAGAAATGCCAGTTCTTATTTCAACCCTATTGCTCAACAACCTAGTTCAATTGCAGTATTTAATGGCGCACCTGATGTTCCAGAGCAGTTTATACCTGGAGCTAAACCTCTAGGACTCAGCTCTCAGTCACAGGTGCTACCTGCTCCTTGCAATATTCTTCAGCCAACATGTTCAAGCAATGGTGAGCTGAATGACAGGAATAAAAACCCTCATGTTACAAAATCAGCCTTCGGATTTCCTTTCTTGCAGCCAGCCGTCAATGAACAGGCCAAAGCATCTTGGTTTCAGAGGCCTTACAGAAGTTTACCATCGTGGTTGTCAAGCTCAACAGATGAAATGCTACCAGGGACCTTTTCTCATCAATTTTCTGGCGTAAGTAGTCAAAGTTTTCCTCAAAACCAGTGGGGAAATAACTTAACTACGCCATCTGTGAATCATTCAGCAGAAGTTCTCCGTCCTTCTAGTGGTCTGACTTCTCTGGGTCCCATGCTTTGTCCAGCATCAATTGTTCAACCTTTACATGTTCCAGTTACACCCTCTACCTTAAATAGCGGTTGTAGAAATATGAATATGGTCCCTGACAGAATGAAGTTGGATGACATGATCACCAAAGACCATCATCATCCATGCACAAATACCAGGAAGAGACCTGCAGCTAATCTTGATGATTCCAGAAAACCTATCAAGTTACCTAATATAGAAGGTCAAGAAAACATGAGTCGTATGATTAGGTTGACTGGACAAAACTCAAGCGTAGAATTGCAACGAAACACAAGAGCAATGGAACTTGATCCACAAGTGGACAGTGGTAGAAGTAGATGTCGCCAGAACAAGGCACAAAAGCTAAATCCTACAGGCTATCCTGCCGTTGATTCTTTTCAACTGGATGGCACGGTAACATCAGGTCCTGTTCGACTTGGTCCAGGAGCGAAGCACATCCTAAAATCCTCTTAAATTATGGATCAGGATAACATAAGAGCGATATGCATTCTGCCACATTCTCATTTGCGACTGCTGACTGTGATAGGGATCTAGAAATTCAGAGAAAATTGACAAAAGTATACATATTTTAGGTGCAAGTCATATCATTTTATCATATATTTTTTTTTCACCTTCATAGTATATATCCAAATGTGAACATAACAGGATTGTTCATGTATCAATATTGCCAGGTTGCTGAAACCGGTGGAAAACTGATATAATTCAATCCAGCTCTCAGTTTTGAAGTTTTTTTGCCTTTTACAGAATCTTATCACCTAAGATGATGCTTTCGATATATATTTTTGAGTCAGGTATTCAATAATTCATCTGTTCAATGCCTATGCAAAGGTGGGCTTTATTATAAGGGAATAGTTATTCTCTCATAAATATTGCTAAAACATATTCAATAAAACTTGAATTTAAGGCTTTAGTTATTCATTAATTAACCCTTGAGTACCACTGAAGCCACTACATAAAGCACTATTATTATTTTTAGAAGAATTTTTTTGATTATAAGTTGTTTTTTTTTATAAAAAAAAACCTAATCCATTTATACGCTTTTGGTGAAAAAAAGTTTGCTTTCCCCTCAAGTTGTTAGAGAACTCAAACTGAATTAAGTTTTTGTGATTGTTTTAAAAATATTAAAATAAATCAATTTCATTAATTCATTCTAATTTCTATAACAAAAAAGACATCAAATTTTCGTTAATGAATTTATTCAAATTCCAACGGATTTCATATTCATTTGATTCAAAATGAACCAATGAAGTGTAGATATTCTTTCATCGCTGGTATACTAGCACTTATTAAATTATTAATGCATCATGAAGCAAACATAAAATTTTAACAAAATCCAACGGAAGTATTGGTCGGCAAAGTATTGCACTTGGCCCTCTTGTCTGGAAAATGTCTCTGCCTTATAAATTAGTCAGTTTTATTTTGACCATATACTTCTCCAAGCATTCCCTCATTCCAGCTTTCTTGTATTTTTGTTTTTATTTACGTATTCCCGAGCTGGAAGAGATGTTAAGAACCAATAGTATGTTTGTATGAAAAGTGAAACATAAGCAGGGTTAAGGTAGAAAATAAAATCTGTAAATAACCAATTTAACCCAACTTGTTGGGTGAAAGTTTTTTTAATGATTTAGATTATTTTCTAATACACACTCTCACGCAAGAGCCCCTTGACTTAAAGTGTGGATATTGCACATGCCTAATTTTTTATTTATCCTTTTGTACTTTTATTTAGTCCCCTCATCATTCTCCTTATATGTGGTGGACTATTTATAAATTTATAATGTCACAGCCTTCATGAGTGTTACTAGTTATTAAAACAGTTTAAATGTTAAAATAATTATTTATATAATAATTTTTTTTTTTTTTTTGTAAATATATAATAATATTCTTAATTATTATAATTGTGTTCATTAGGTCAGCAACTTGTTACGTTTTAGAATGCTCCATATATAAAATTGGGGGGGAAATCTGGACTAATTCACCTCACCTGTGCATAATTTTATGTTCTGATTCCTATTTTCTGCTTGATATTATCTGTTAAAAGACATTCATTCAACATTGTATAAGTTATTATTTATATAGTGTACACCAACATGTGGAAGAAAAGAGGTTGAACTAGTTTTAATTTACTAGGAGGTGGTTATCCCTCATTTACTTTAAATATGATCACGGAGAGATTCTTGCGGTGCTGATTCGAAAATAGTTATTGCCCAAGTAATTATTGATGTTACTTATCAAAGCACTGAATAAGGTTTATGCAAGCGTGATGATCACTTCACTTGATATGCTTCTTACAGTTGCAGCACTCGTTCCAATTACATAATAGTTTCTGGGACATATACACCAAAATAAGAAGTTAGAGTAAATTAATTTATGATATCCAACAAATCGGACTTCATACTATAATTCTCAAACTCAGTCTTCATACTAATAAAATATACATAGAACTATAGAAGTACTGATCACAACATGTTAATTTGCATTCTTTCATTCCAATAACTTTCGTCAAATCAATACTCAGTGCTTCTTTGCTTCTTTCTCAGCCTGCACATATAAAATGAAAAAAAAAAAAAAAAATGTTAATAATGAAGCCATATATACCTTTGGCTAATAGTTGTTCATCATATCATCATCGATCATATATTCATACCGCTCTGATTACTTTCTCAAAGGCATCAGTGCCATATCTATCAATATAGCGTTCAACTGCTTTCCTTGCATCTAATGTCATCATCTGAAGGACCTTCTTGTACTCCTCAGGATAATTGGAACCTCCATAGCTTCCTATTTTCTTTGTGTATTGCCTCGCATAATTCTCATATATGTAAGCAGCTCCATTGAACATTGGCAGAACCAGCCACATGCAAAACACAAGCTTCAGGTATGGCCAAATGGGAAACCTATATATACATTTTTTTTATTAAGCCAAAGAAATGATGTCAAATTACTATGATTGTGTCAATATATACACACAGTTTTAATGAAATTAACGTGAACATACCAAGATAGGATCTTATAAGACGAAAGCTCAAAGAGGGTCAAGAAGGAGTACAAAATCCAATACGTTAGCCACTGTTGATCATCTAAGGTTGAAGGACTTTCAATCGCCCTCATTGATGCATATCTATGATATTTACTCAGAAATCAAGCATTTCATAATTAGTCATGTCATGTAATAGATCATATAATGTGCATGCCTGTGCGTTTGGATGCTTTTTTTTTTTTTATTAATTGCTTATTAAAAGTTACAGTGATGAGGAAGTTAAAATGATACATGATTACATGATATGGCATTTACTTACAGAGGATAAAGAAGCATTACTCCTGGCCTGGTAAGGAGAAAACAAAAAGTAAGCTGTTATTACATGGAAAAACATAAAATTAAGTACCTGTGTATGTTAAGTTGTAGATATAGAATGCATATTTTTATGAATATATTTTAATAAAGAGAAATTTTGTAGATGGGATTTTGCAGGTACTGTATGAAAAGTGTTCTGTTAAGCAGATAATTATAGCTATGCATGTGTAGGAGAAGAGTGAAAGTAATCTATGACATATATAGTGAAAATAACTTAAAGATAATTTTAAAAGCAAAAGGGAGAGAGATTAGTTTACCCTATTATAGTAGTGTCCAAATGTCTAGCCATTGCTCCAAGGACGCCCATGATGCAGATCTTTCTTGGTGGGCAGATTGAAAGCTTTACGATTTGGAGCAAGAGATGATGGAATCTAAGTTGTATTGTGGATGCATGCAAATGGTTGCAAGGGTATATATATATATATATATATATATATATATATATATATATATATATATATATATATATACACACACACATAAATGTAGTAGCAGGCAGGGTCAATGAAACAAGCAAGGAATCGAATGTTTGTGGGATGGCCCAAAAGTCTTCTTTTCTGTAACGAGAGGAAAGAACCATAATGATTAAGGTATGTGTAAGAGAAGGGGAGGGGATAATAAATAAGGATACCAAAAGTATGGGGTTTGCACGTGCTTTTCAAATGGTGTATATTCAAGGCATTAAATGTTAATCATGTTACCGAGCATGCGGACGAACGAACCAACCCTATCAATTTTTTTTAAGCTTCTAGTGTATAAGACAAAAAGTACCCATAAAATTCAATTAATTAAATTGAAACCCTACGTTAATAGTTTTACAGTCTGGTTAGAATCTACTTTTTATAAAAAGCCTGATACCAGTTATTTTAAAAAGTTTTGTACAAGTACATATAATTCACTTAATTCAATACTTCTATTTCCCATAAACTAATTCAATAAAGTGTTAACATAAGATTGAATGGTAATGTAAAACTGTTTATCCAACATGCTAATTTTTTTTTCACTTAATTTTTTAATCATCATACATGTTTATTTGTAATCCTTTTAATTTTTATTTAATAAATAAATTCATATATCAAATATTAATATAATTAAATAACTAAAAGTTAATAAATAAAAAAGTCAGATTCTATCTTTTAATTAAAAAGAATTCAAATATTCTCTTTCTTTAATAATGTTAGTATCTCCAACTATATATAAAGAAAAAGTAAGTCTTGAAAGATGGTGTGAGAAAGTAAGTCTATTGAATTTTAATGGTGGTTGTAATTTTTTAGAAGAGAGCACAGGTTCGAGTCTTGTAAGTATTACTACTTACGAAAATATCCTAACCATAGGATCACTATATATCAAAGAATTAATCTCGTACTCAATATAATAAAAAACAAAAAGTGCTTGCAATAGCACCCAAGAAACCTCATGGAACTGCTCAGTTGATTATTGGATTGACTGCTCCACACAAGACACACGCAAGAATATCATCTCTGGTTTATTAGTGTTATTACTTGCAATTTGAAGAGTAAGATTTCAAGACATCAGTTTTTTTCTTCTTTTTTAAGCGAGAGTTTGAATTGCACCCAAAAAAGAAAGTGAGAGCTTGAATACCAATGTTACATATTACGCAACAAAAAATCCCAAGTGTTCAAGTGGTACAAGCAAACAGTTGATTCCAAAACAAATTTTAAGTATACCCTTTTTCCTTTAAGCAATGTGCCCCGCCAAAGTAAGAATCTTGACATGCTTCTTCTGCCTGAGCTCATGCGGCAGTGGTCCAAAAACTCTGGTCCCAATAGGTTGGCCTTGCTTGTCAACAAGCACCACAGCATTGTCATCAAACTTGACCTCACTCCCATCACATCTTCCCCTTGGCATGGCTGCGCGCTCGACAACACCATACACAACTTTTCCCTTTCTTAACTTTTCCATTAGGGTGTGCCTCCTTAACTGATGCTATTATTGTATCACCTAATCTTGCCCCTTTCTTCCCTTGCAAAGCTTGTATGCACATCACTTTTTTAGCCCCAGAATTATCTACAACCTTGAGAACGGTTCTCATCTGTATGAAGCCGCGTTGCTGCTGCTAAAAGCCACAGAAATGCATTTAGTCAGTAATCCATATCTGCCATTTTTTCAGTATAAGGAAAAAATAACTGTTATTTACAACCTATCTAAGGTTACCAAAGTTTAACAAAAAGGTAAGAAAGTGTGATTGAAAATATCACTAATAACCACAACCATGATATTGCCATAATTCAAACACTAACCTGAGATAAGAAATTGCTGCATGTCAACTCATTTGATGTTAATAAACCAGAGAGGCTATTGCTCAATCCACCAAACAGAGAACGGCCCACTAGTTTGATTTTCAACAAATGAAACCAAATGAAGTATTATTACTTAACCAAGAAAATACCAGCTAATCATCAATATAAACAATATTCTGTTCATTTTAAGCTATAATAAAAATGATAGGGGATGTATCCATGGCATGAATGCATATTTCAAGCATCCAATATAATGCTACACAACTTAATATATGAAATTTCACTATTTCGGGTTGGCTATAAAGCACAATTGTTGAACCGAAAAGATAATATTGCAGACATAATAACATTTTGCCGGTGGTCCATGTTATTATGAAACAAAATCACCATGAAATAAAGAAACTACAATAACTTTACAGTGAGTGAAACAACAAGATCTAGATCCAAAAATAATAATAACAATAATAAAAACATTATACAAAACCTTCAACAATAATGTCGGGTAACAACACTTTCAACAACCAATTAACCAACCATGTACTAATGTTTATTACTATAAAGTTGCAGTGACTCTAAATTAGTAGAAAACAATAAAGAGATTTTTAAAAGAAATTAGTTTCATAATTACAAAAATGGAAGCATCCAATTAAAACCAATGAGCAGAAATTGAGTATGAAGCTAGGAAACGAAGCGGAATGAATGTGAGTAAAAGGACATACGAGGTGAACATCTGGAAGCTACGGTTGCAGCCATCCTCAAAATTTGCAGTCTTTTTTTTACGAAGAAAGATAAACACAGACTTGAATGAAGAAGACAACGATGTACCATGAAGAAAAAATCAGGGTCATTTCGATTTCGGAGGGTCCGAGATTATTGGGCTGAAGCAACCCGGCCCATGGGTTTCAACGGAGGCCCCTTTGCACTGAAATTTCTACCATACTACTATTTTACCCACTTTTTTATACATCTCTCCAATATAAATTAAACACTTATGTTGATTGACAATTTGGGTTGACCTGCCCCGCCTAGCCACCAACAAGGCTGGGCGGGTTGACCCGCTAAAAAATATGGGTTGAAAAAACGAACTCATCTCGTTTTATGGTGGGTTGGCAGGTCAACCCACCAACCCGCCAATTAAAAAAAAAATTAATTAAAATTTAAAAATAAATTATATTTTATGAATTTTTCTAATATTATTTTATTTTATTTCACACTTCTCTATATTTTTTTAATCTCAATCTTAAATGTATACTAATATTTGTCAAACATTCTTTAGGAATTTATATCTAGATAACATTTGTCATAAATAAATTTTTTATTCTTTATTTATTTTAGGAAGTACTAAGATTAAAAAAAAAATTGGATATCACAAAAATTTAAGAACTAATGAATAACTACCTAATTGTAAAAAAAAAAAAAAAAATATAACTCAGTGGGTCAACCCGCCCCGCGGCGGGTTGAACCCGTTTTGACCCACTTCTAGGCGGGGCGGGTTGAGGTGGGTTGAAAACCTCAACCCAACCCGCCCCGTTTTGGCGGGTTGACCCGCCGGGCTCAACCCATATTGCCACCTCTAGATTAATGTCATGGAAAAGAAAAATATATATATTAAAAACAAGTGTTTAATTTTCAATGACAGTACCAAAGATGAGCTCCCTTTGCACAATTAGATAACACACTACTAGGGGTGTTCATTAATTGATCCAAACCGATTCAAACTGCGGTGACCGAACCGAAAAATCGAAAACCGAATAAACCGAAAAACTGAAAACCAAAAAAAACCGCAAATTTTAATTGGATTGGATCGGTTTTTGGACGGGTTGATAAAAACCGATCCAATCCAAACCGATCCAATATATTAATTTCTCTCTACCTACTTGGGTCTTTCCCTAATCATAGCCTAAAAATTTCTAAACTCAAGACTCATTGACCCATCAACTAAATCAAAGAAAAAATCTAGCCACATCTCATCAACAAAATTTTATCTTTGTAGAGCTTCATATCTCATTGCCCAAAAAAAAAACTATATTATAGTTTACTAATACTTTTGTATTTCAAAAAAAAAAATTTACAAAGTCAATATATACAAAAGATGTTATTTGCTCAATAATCATGAAATAAATTTTAGGATTTTCAAAAAACCGAAAACCGATCCAATCCAAACCGAAAAAAATTAGATCGGATTTAATCTGATTTGAAAAAAAATTCAAACCGAATGAATAATTATATGATCAAACCGAAGGCATTGGATCGGATAATTTTTGCTTTCAAAACCGATCCAATCCAAACCGCGAACACCCCTACACACTACTAATGGTGTAGTCTGTCACTAGCACTGCTATCACTTATTACTCCTAATTTCTTGATAAAAAAATACTGATATAATTATTTGTAGTTAAATAAAAAATGAGATATAAATAAATAACAATTTTTTTATTTTTTTTATAAACTCTATCAAAATTATAGGGTGAAATATCTTGATGTAACAAGGTTTAAAGAGATAGTAATATTAACCAAAATTCAACACGAGAGCCGCTGCGAGTAGGGTTGTGCATGGGTCAGGTCGGGTCAGGTTTTTGTCTGACTCGACCCAACTTGGTTTTTATAGGTCAGGTATTTTGACCCGACCCGCTTTAATTTGATCCAAGTCAGGTCTGACTTGATTTGAATTTTGTTGAACTAGTTCAGAACTGGATCGGATCTGACCTGACTTGGTTTCTGAAGTGGGTCAAATCTGACTTGACCCGCTTTTGACTTGGTTTCCTCACAAAATTTCGTCGAAATTTCTACGTTGCAAATGACAAAAATTTCGTCACAAAATTATTTTTTCGTCGGAATACTTTTTGTCGAAAAGCGACGAAATTTTTTCTCTAATGAAAATTTTACAAAAATAAATTTTCTATCGAAATTTAGTTTCCGTCAAAAGTTTTGACAAAAATGATTTCTTCCATCAAATCTTTTAAACGAAAAAAGAATTCTGTCAAAAATTTTGACGAAATGTTTTTCGTTCAAAATTTCGATGGGAATGTGTTTTGACGAAAATTTCGGCGGAAGTTGTTTCGAGGGAAATGTTTCATTTGAAACTTTCGACGAAATTTAGATTCTCTAAAGAAATGTGTTTCGCTAAAAATTTCGACGAAATTTTTTTTGTCAAAAAGTTTAACGAAAATATTTTCGTCAAAAACTTTCGCCGAAATTTGAAATTTGTAAAGAATTTTGATGAAATTTTTTTCGGTAAAAAAATTTCGATGGAAATGTGTTTCGTCGAAATTTTTGATGAATATATTTTTTTGTGAAATATTTTGACGAAATTTAGATTCCGTAAAAAAATTTGACAAAAAAAATATTCCATCAAAGTTTTTTTACAGAAATGTTTTTAGTCACGAATATCGATGAAAATATTTTTTGTCAAAAATTTTTGCGAAATTTTTTTGTGGAAATATTTTCCGTAAAAAATATTGACGTAATTGTTTTACGTTAAAACTTTTCTTTTATTGTAATTGTGATTTTTTTCATTTTTTTTTTCATATAATGGGTATGGGTCAAGTTTTGGGTCAATGAGTTAATTATTAAATGAGTCAGGTCTAAAACCTGACCCAAATAAAGTGGGTCAGTATTAAATCCAGTTAAAAAAAAAAGGTATTTATGACTTATGAGTCAGGTCAAGGTCAGATAAAAGACGGGGCAGGTGAACCAGTTATTTTGTGCGGCCCTAGCTGCGAGTATCTCATGCGAAGTTTGAGAGAGAGGTATAATGTTAAGGGCATACTAACTCTATATTTTGATAAATAACAAGGTTCATTTTTTTGTTGTTGTTACTGCAGATAAATTATATGCAGTAAGCCTAATACGGCGTTTTTTTTAGACAAAATTCATGATATTTTTGTATTTTTATTTATTTCAGGGTTATTATAGTATTTATAATTCTAATTATTTAGTTTTTCAATTTCAAAATGACATCATTCTGAAAATAAATGCAGATAACTTATCTGCAGTAACTGTAGAAATATTATTCTCAAATAACAATTCATAAAACAATGGATTTTAAATATCTATTCAATAGATGAAGAGATGGTATTTATAGATAAGAAACATTCCATAATCATAAGAAAGAAAACAATAACCATTTTAATTAATAGACCCCACTATATGCGTGGGGCAAATGCATTTCCTATATTTGCTGTAAGGTGTGTTCATGCCAGCAAGTGAGAGATCTTTTACAATAATAGTCCAAAATTCTCACGATGGGGATATGACCTCTAGGAGGTGTTTGATTGAGGAGATTTTTTTTGAATATTAGGGAAATAGAATTGATAGAAAAATAGTAATAAAGTGAGATAAAGTGAGATAGATAGGAAAATGTAAAAAAAAGTTGTTTGATTGGATAAAATTTCACCAGAAAAATATCTGAAAATTTTGAAAACCTATGTTTGGTTTTGGAAAAAATATAGATAGGTAAATGATATAAAATTACAATTTTATCTTCGATACCCTTATCCTAAACAAACAAACAGTGTGTGAAATATCTTATCATCGAGGAGGGTATAATGGGGGTCCAAAAGGTGTGTGAACAGTGCATTGCCCGGGTTTTCCAAAAAAACCACCCTCACATTCTCTTTCTCAATGGTGTGAAAAGCTTTCTTTCTCATCAAAAGTTGAAAAACCCATGCAAATGACATGGATGGGAATTTGGTAAAAATCTGTTGAAACAAACGTTGTGTTTCTAAAAACTATACTTCATTTGCATAGGAATCTGTTGAAAAGCTTGGAACCAAACGCCCCCCTAAAGTAATATTATTAAAAGTGACTCGGTCATTGATATGATTGAGATATTGAGTCATTGGGTCAATTAATGGGTCACTAGTTCAATCGCATGATTCGATAATTATATGTAATTTTATAATTTAAATTAAAAAATTATAAACATACACAAATATCTAAAAAAAAAATGATAAAAATTTCAAATATTTTAATATAAAAAATAATAAATAACATATTATTATCCAATAAAGGATCAAACAAAAATATAATGATTGTGATATGAGGTTTTAGGTTCAGAAAATGACATTTTTAATTATAAATCAAATCAAAATTTTCTGTATAATGTATAATTGAGATAATATTAGTGTTGTAGGTACATAACTTATGTAAATCAACAAGCAAAAAAATATTCAAATATGTCCATTATGTTTTTTTTTTTGAAAAAAAAAACAATTTTGGAATTTTTTTTTTAGGACCGGCCGGGTCATCGGTTTTCATGAAAACCGGCCGGGTCAGACCGGTGGCCAGTCAATTGCTTCAACCGGACTGATTATATGAACGATTTATCGATTTTCGGATCGACCCAGCCGAGTCACTCCGATACTCCGATTTTATCAACAGTACCTTAAAGTAAAATTTAAAGGCCGAACAATTGAACTTGACACGTATGTCATCGATGTAGAACGAAAATACATTTGTATCTTTATTGTTTTTCTTTGAAAAAATAAAATCCTATCTCATTTAATATCTATCATGATTTATGAAATTGAAGTGTTTTTTAATTTTTTATTAATTTTAAATTTTCCATATCATCGCTATTTTTTTTTTATATATTTTTCCATTTAATATTATATATATTTATATATTTTGGTAAACAAATATATTATATTTTAATACCTAACTGAACTAAAAAAATAAAATAAAAAAAATACTGTGATCCAAAAATAAAATGCTGCCATGAATATTCACTAGTTTTGCGTTAAGGAATTGCGAAAAAAATTGCGTTAAACACTGGCTAGAAAACAAATATTTTCGAATTGTTTTTTTTTTAATTTTTTTAAAAATTGAGAGATAGACAAATATACAGTATTAAATTTAAAATATATTTGATAGAAGGGATTAATTTTTTTTTTTACGAGAAGATAGATTTATATCCTGTAACCCCAAAGGCCAAAACAACAATATTAAAAAAAAAATTATTAATATCATGTTAAATGAGATAAGTTATCTCATATCGTAGAGATAAATATGTGGGTTACACCACTTAAAAAAAGTTGCACAGTTGTCGAAGGGTGTGTAGGAAATTTTTTTTATCTTATATAACATGAGAATAATTTTTTTTTTAAAATACTCTGTATTTTAATAAAATTTATAAAATAAGAGAAAAGTAAATTTTATAATTTTTTTTAAATTGTTTTAAATTCCAAAATAACATTATTTTAGGGTTGCTGGAGACTATAAAAAGAAAAACACTTTTTATTATAAAAAAAAGATAGGATATTGTAAAAACCTATCAATGTTATTACCAATCAATTTCACCATTAGATCGATATACGGATCCAACGACTATATTCATTTCCATCTTTGTATGGTTATGATTTATCATATTTAATGCTTTCACAATAAATATAAGAAATCATAACCATACAAAGATAGAAATAAATATAAACTACCAATTACCAAAAAAAGAAATATAAACTACCAAAGAAAATATGTATATAACCGTTGGATCAACATAATCGATCTAACGATGAGATTGATTGGCAGAAACATTGTTAAGTAACCTAATTGGTTGTTACAGTATCCTTAAAAAAACACTTTTCCCTTTCTAAAATATTAAAAACAAATGAAAAATGACTTTGAGAAATTATTTTTCAAAAAAAAAAAAAAAAACTTTTAAGTACTAATTTCACGTATAAATTTTTGGAGGAAAACTGAGGTGCAATGCAACGATGCGTTTAAATGTTTGCCACGTCATCTTTCTCCATCGTCTTCGTGTTTAGGGTTTTCACTTTTCATAGTCGCAGTTGCAGTTTCAGTTTCCCTTACTTTCTTCACAGTCACTATATATAAAAGAACTAAACCTTCCAATTAACGCATTTGAGTGTGCCCTATCATCGCTATTCTTCTACTGTTTGCATTAAACAACTCCTGAAATTCAAAGACACACACTGCATCGTGCGTTACGGTACGATGTTTTGTTCTTTCATACGACTTGATTCTCATTACTTGTTTAATACGCATTTTCCAATCTACTTTTGTAATTTATTTTTTTTTGGGTTTTGTTTGGTAATTATCATTCTCCATTGCTATTTTGAAAGCTGTAAAAAGCCTAATTGCTCATTGGGTATTTCAAACATGCCGAAAAGTTTCGGCTTTATTTTTACATCACCCCTCGCGGTTAATTTTGTATCTTGAAAACCGGAGTGTTTCTGTTAGATATTTTTTATTTTTAATACTATATTGGCGTTGGTAATGGAATTGAATGATAGCTTTGAGTTATGTGTTTTGTTTTAATAGCAGGAATGGGACTCTGGATGCCAGGAAAAGTCTGAATTTTGACAGTAAAATAAATTGTTAAAGAGGAAATGCAAAATAGTATCTCTATTATTGAGTTTGACAAGAAAAAATATTCACCAGCGTTTTTTGGATAGGTCTGCAATGACTGGAAATCTATTGCAAACTGAAAGCCATTTATCTAGAGTATGCTAAAGATATTATTTTCTGGGGCGCCATATCTGTCCTTAATCTGGACAGTGTTACTCATATGTAATTGAGGGATCATGAGCAACCTTTGGGGATCTTATTTACTTTCTAGCTTGTTTTGGAATTTTCACTTTTATATGCGAGTAGTTCCTCCTGGATTGTGTTTTCCTAGTGTATAGCAATTTTATCTCGTTAAGGGATCATTTTACTCCATGGAGCACTTCTTTAGCCATTGATTGATATAGGTTTTGGCTTTTTAAACGGATTGGATGATAATTCATTGATAAATTTTGTCATTAATGGTTAGATACTGGACTTAACTATAGTTTGAAGAATCAAATGAATTGTATGCCACTGTGCCATTATGAGAAAATCCGGATTTTCTAATGAAGATTCTTTTTTCTGTTGTTGGTGGTTTCCATTGCTTAGTTCCTGCAACTTGATCAGTAGCATGTATAGAATAATTTTACACTAGAATGGTTTTCTGTGATACTGATACCCTTTAGGTGTCAAGAGACTTTATTTACAGCCAAGAATGTGTTTATGTGACTTACTAACACATGATATTTGGTTCACCTATGGAAATTTGATTCTCTATAAAACTTTTGACTCTTGTTATTATGATGACCTTGGATATTAGTGAATGTTATCATTTTGACTTTACACTTGTCATAAGGTGCCTCTTTCCTGCCTCTTCAATTTTATTTCCTCCTTATTCTTGTGATAAATTTCCTCCCTCATTAATTAGTACACTCAGTATCAACCATAGTTGCCCGATAAGCCAGAAAACTGGTGTGAATTGGATGCAGTTCAGACTTCAGTCTGTTCGGTGCCTTGGACCGGTCTTGAACAGGGTTGCCAAGGTGCCCATATGCCCCTTGGCTTAAAGAATGCCAAGCTGGGGATTCAAACCTCTCTAAAAGGGCTTAAGAGGAAAGTGCCTGATCACAAGTTTAGGGATGGTTTTGTTGCATGAATGTCATTGTATTTGTTGCAGTTATGTGCCATAAAAAGGTTAAGAACCTTTAAAACTAAATAAATTAGCATTAAGTCTATCATTTTAAATATATTTGTCACATATTTATGAAGTTATACATGTTTTTTGAGCTTTTGGTTGAACCACTACACAGTGAACTGCTCATTCTTCCTGTTCAAAGACAGGTCTTTTCTTCAGAAATTGATATAAAGAATGCACTATTGCAGGTTGGACAAGGTTTTATATTGTGGTCGATCTTTGTTTTTTTTTGTGTGTGTGTGTGTGTGTGTGTGTGTGTGTAAAAGTATGTTTTGCATTTCCCCTCTTACATAGACCTCCTAAGTAGAGTACATTTTTGGTTCCTTTTTGTTTTTATTATTTACATTTACTTTACAGTTTTGTCATCATAGGTTCATACACACATACATGCATATCTGCATCTGCAGAGAGTAGTGTGCAAAGATGCTATCCTGGTCGTTGCATTTTTACCCCTCTAAATTTGCAGTCTTTGAATTGAATTTAATGGGGATGCTTGTTTGCCAGGTTCGTGTGATGGACTTGTCAGATGCTGTAATTGTCAAATCCAGTAGGTTGAAATCTGTTGTATGGAATGATTTTGATAGGATCAAAAAAGGCGATACCTGTGTGGCTGTTTGTAGGCATTGCAAGAAGAAACTGAGTGGATCAAGTACGAGTGGAACATCACATTTAAGGAACCATTTAATCAGGTGTCAGAGAAGGTCTAACCATGGTATAGCACAATACATTACAACGAGAGAAAAGAGAAAGGAAGGGACTGTCACAATTGCAAATTTCAATTTTGATAAAGATCAGAAAAAAGATGAATCCCTTAACCTTGTGAATATTAAATTTGAGCAGGAGCAATCAAAAGATGAAACTGTCAATACTGGAAACAGTAACTTTGATCAAAGGCGGAGTCGATTTGATATCGCTCGCATGATTATTCTACATGGATATCCCTTGGCTATGGTTGATCATGTGGGTTTCAGAGTATTTGTAAAAAATCTACAGCCATTGTTTGAGCTAGTGACGTTGAATAGGGTTGAGGGTGACTGTGTTGAGATTTATGAGAAAGAGAAACAAAAGATGAATGAGATGTTGGATAAATTGCCTGGGAAAATCAGCCTTAGTGTTGACATGTGGACTGCTATGTGTGATTCTGAGTATCTGTGTTTGACAGCAAATTATATAGATGAATCATGGTTGTTGAGGAGGAGGATTTTAAATTTTATCATGATTGGTCCTTCCTATACTGAAGACATGCTTTCGGAAGCTATCATGACTTGTCTGATGGATTGGGATATTGACCGTAAGTTGTTCTCCATTGTATTAGATAGTTCTTCCAGTGATAATATTGCTATAAGAATCGGTGAACGACTTTCGCAAAACAGGTTTCTTTATTGTAATGGTCAATTATTTGATATTCGCTGTGTTACAAATGTTCTTAATGTCATGGTTTGGCATGCTTTGGGAGCTATCAGTGGAATAGTCAATAAGATTCGAGAAAGTATTCGATATATTAAAAGTTCACAAACAGTACAGGCAAAGTTCAATGGGATGGCTAAAGAAGTTGGGATCATGAATAAAAAATGCTTATATTTAGATAATCCATTGAGATGGGATTCCACGTATTCAATGCTTGAAGTTGCCTTAGAATTCAGGGATGTTTTTATTCTTTTGCAAGAAAATGATGATGCCTATACAACCAGTTTATCTGATGTTGAATGGGAGAGAGTCACTGCCGTAACTAGCTACTTGAAACTTTTTGTTGAGGTTACAAATGTTTTCACTAGGGGCAAGTATCCAACTGCAAATATATATTTCCCTGAGCTCTGTGATGTTAAGTTGCATTTGATCGAATGGTGCAAAAATTCAGATGAACATATTAGTTCTTTGGCATTAAGAATGAGAAGCAAGTTTGATGAATATTGGGAGAAATGTAGCTTAGGGTTGGCAGTTGCAACCATGTTGGATCCTAGATTCAAGATGAAATTGGTAGAATATTACTATCCACAAATCTATGGTAGCACTTCTGGTGGTCGCATTGATGAGGTTCTTGAGGGTGTGAAGGCTCTATACAATGAACATTCGATATGCTCCCCATTAGCTTTCAATGATCAGGGTATGGACTGGCAAGTTGGCAGTGGTCCACTTTGCTTACCCAGTTCTGCAAAGGACTCTAGGGATAGACTGATGGGGTTTGACAAATTCCTCAATGAAACTTCTCCGGATGAAGATGTAAAATCCGATCTAGACAAGTACTTAGAAGAGCCTCTCTTTCCACGCAATGTTGATTTCAGCATTTTAAATTGGTGGAAAGTCCACACTCCCAGGTATCCTATCTTATCCATGATGGCACGAAATCTTTTAGGAATTCCAATGTCAAAAGTTCCACCAGAGTTGGCATTTAATAATAGTGGAAGAGTCCTTGATCGTGATTGGAGCTCACTCAATCCTGCTACTGTCCAAGCTTTGGTGTGTTCACAAGATTGGATTCGGAGTGAATTGGAAAATTAGGAATTGCCTCTACCCTGCATTCTAACTCTATATCGCCATTATAAGTTACTTCTTCTAACTGTCAATTCTCTTGACCTTTTGTATGTCAGATTCTATTCTGTCCACAGCCTTATGCAACTTAGATTTGAAAGTTGGTTTTATGAGTTTCTTTTGCATCTTTATTGTTTAGCTAATTGTTTTGGTGATCTGTGGCTTATGAGTTGCGGCAATGGACAGTCTATATATAAATTTTTTGTCTGCTTCAAATTCTGACTAACTCCATATGTATACTCAGCATTGCTTTGCCTTTTTAATTTCCTTCTTTAAAAGGAATGATCTAAACATTGCAGAACTTTTTTTTTCCTTAACAATTATTTGCAATAACAAACCTACGTTTCTTCCAATGTTTTTACATTGTGCGACCTCTGATTTGCATACTTCAATAACTGTTAGATATATCGACTCCGAGATGTTTGATTTTGATATTTTGTCTAGCTGAGATCACTTGTAAATAGGCTGCTGAATAATTTTGAAAGCTGATTTGAGAAACTAGAGGTTTGTTAATTTCCAATGTCATAACTTGAAAAAATGCATATCAATCAATCAGGCAAACATTTTCCTACACTTAATTTGAGGTCTATCTTTGCATTGAAATGATCTCTCATTGACTGGAGTTGTTTGGTGACATCATAGGTTTTGCTTGCATTGACATTGATTCTCTCCTTTTAGAACATGATGTGATGATGATAATTTTGTTTTTGGTAGAATTGTGACACCCGTATTCTGGCTTTTTGACCTTAGTAGTGTCATTTTCATAAAGTTTCACCGGAATAATTTCTTGGTCAAACATATTACCTATATAATGCATAACGACGCGGTACTGTGGGAATCACTTTATGACGTGACACTTTAGCAACCGCGTCCTTTGCATTTATTCTTGACCACTGGAACGTGATACCCTGGCAATCACGTCTTATTCCCAAGACCACTGGAACGTGATACCCTGGCAATCACGTCCTATTCCCAAGACGCGGTACACTCTCAGCCACATGTCAGTGGGTCCCATCCCAAAAAGAATTCAACAAGAAGCGGTAGTGTATAAGCCGCGTTCCAGATTACAAGTCAAGTCAAAGCCAAACAGATATATATGTTTCACCTAAAATTTAGGCATATTAATATATTCATTGTAAAAGAGTACATAAAATCTAATAAATCCAATAGTACCCAATCTTATACCCCTGTTTCGTGTTTGGTCTGCTTTCCCGATTTCCAATATGTGAAAGAAACAATTTAATCCAAAATTTTTAATGATTTATATTAAGATAAACAAAAAATAAATAGAATCCATGCAAAATTCATACTTCAAGCCCAAATGGCTTTTGTATGAGTGAGTTTGTAAGTGAATAATATAAACTATTATAAAGACCTTCATCCAACACCTTAAAATTATAGTAATTATAATTTTATTGTTAGTAAATTTCTAAATTAATTATTTTCTGGTTTAAGAGTTAGTCTTCTAACCAGTAAAGAATAAATTGCTAGCAACTATAAAAACCATTTTGTACGAAAATGACTTGTTGCTTTTATTGGATTTTTTGAACTCTTTTACTGTGAATATATCAATGTCTAAATTTTAGGTGAAATATATATATCTGCTTGACTCCGACTTGACTTGTAACCTGGAACGCGGCTTATACACTACCGCTTTCCGTTGAATTCTTTTTCGGATGGGACCCACTGACATGTGGCAGAGAGGGTACCGCATCTTGGGAATAGGACGTGATTGCCAGGGTATCACGTTCCAGGTCTTGGGAATAGGACGTGATTGCCAGGGTATCACGTTCCAGTGGCTAGGAACAAATGCAAAGGACGCGATTGCTAAAGTGTCACGTCCTAAAGTGATTCTCACAGTACCGCATCGTTATGCATTATATAGGTAATATGTTTGACCAAAAAATTATTCCGGCGAAACCTTATGAAATTGACACTACTAAGGTCAAAAAGCCCTGTATTGTGTACCAAAAAATAATGAATAACATGAAATGGGTGGATCATTCTGTTGATTCTTGTCCCGCATTCTAAATTGAGTTATTTTGTTTTCTAAATAAATATGGTTTTGAATTGTTTGTTTTTAGATATATGTATGTTGTTGCCTTAAACAAGTCTAGTTTTTTTTACATAAAAATTAAAACTTGTATTAATAGAATGGTAAATTTCAGAGGAATATTGGACTTGTATTTTTTTTTTATTAAAAAAAAATGCCTTTTACGTGCAATTGTCGTAAGCCAGCGGGGTATGATGAATATAATTACTCACGACTCATGCAAAAAAACATTGTTGCTCTCTACAGTATGTAGTTCCGTTTTTCCGTGGAAGTCACATCAATTTTTTTATGTATCTGTGCAACGAGAGCATAGGCCATCTCCTCTATACACTAAAACAATAAATTTGTTCTCTGTATCTAATTTTGTTTTATAGATGAATACGGATCTTTCGGGGCTGACAGTCAAACTTATGCTATTAAACTTGATTAATTGTTTATTTAATTTTGCAAAAAATACTCACCAAATTATATCTTTCGTGATGATCAGATATACACAGAAAATGATGAAGTGGAGAGAAAAAGTTTATTTTCCTTTCCTTTTAGGATCCCAACCAGCAAAAAGAACGAATAACCAGGGTTGCAATGTTACAAGTATATACCAACAAATCCATTCACGGGGACGCAATTCATATGAATCATGGGGAATGCAAATATATATATATATATATATATATATATATATAGACACACACACACACGAGGTTATCGTTTCTGAAATTGCTAAATGTCCAGCTAGGAATCATAATTATTCATGGGTAGGTAAAAACATTAAATACGCGGAATAAATGAGAATCAACGATTAGGATGACTAGTTGGACGTCGAGTAATTCGAAAACTCGAAAAATAGAAATAAATGAGAATCAACGATTAGGATTACTAGTTGGACGTCGAGTAATTCGAAAACTTGAAAAATAATTTCATATATATATATATAGGGTTCGCTTTTTCTTCAGTTACTGCAGATAAGTTATCTGCAGTAAGCTCAATACGACGTCGTTTTGGGGCGGAAATCATGGTGTTTTGTGATTTTAATTTATTTCAGGGTTATAATAATCTTTATATTTATAATTTTTTAAGATTTTCATAACAAAACGACGTCGTTTTAGGAATAAATACAGATAACTTATCTGCAGTAACTACAGAAATATTTTTCCCACACACACATATATATATATATATATATATGAGGATGGATGCTTTGACTTTGGTGCATAACTAACAATTTTTAATTCTCATCTTAACCGTTGATTTTCGTTCATGTAATGATTATAGGTTATTAACTTATATCAATTAATTAATTATTAATTCCAAATAAATTATAGCTGTTAGATTAACAGAAATCAACGATTGAGATGGAGAGTAAGACTTATTAATCTTACAGTTGAGTTAAAATATCCCTTCTCTCTCTATATATATATATATTTATCGAAGAGTGTGTAGGAGAGAAAACTTATGTCATGTGACATAAGAATAGTATATATATATATATATATATATATATATATATATATATATATATATATATATATTAAGCATACACGTGAAAGTGGATGAGGCCAACACCGTCAGGTTGTATTGATAGTCTGTATGGTGACACTATAGGTGTTCACTGGTCTAGGCTTTGTGCCTAGTTTCTTTTTGTTGTGTTTTTGTTTTAATTTCCAATAAAAAAAAAGAAAGTGGATGAGGCCCAATGAAAAGAAAAAAAAATGTGAATATAAATATATAGGGTTAATTTTTCTTTTCCAAACTGGATATAATTTGATTTCTTACACACATATGAAAATAGGGGTGGCAATTTTCAATATGAGCTGTTGATACGACACGAAAGATTCGTGTTCGGGTTGACTTATTTTCAAATTTGTGTCATGTTCATATTGGCAAGATCCGATATGAAAATTTGTGTCGTGACACGTGTCAATCCGCAAAAAAGAAATTGACCGGCGATAATTTTTTTACAAGTTATTCATGTTGTGTCATGTAATTTCGTATCATATCATGTCGTATTGTGTTAACCTGTAAAATAAACGACACACTTTGAGGTTGACAAGTTATTTGTGTTGTGTCATATCTTCTCGCATCTAATCGTCACACTTTGAGGTTGGTGGGTTGTTTATATTGTGTTGTATCAACCTACAAAATAAGCAGGTCATGTTAGTGTCGAAGATTTTGACCCGTTTTTGAATTTGTATTGTTTCGTACTGAGTGTATTCGTGTTTGTGTCAAATTTGTGTCGTATGTCAATCCAAATTGTCATCCCTAGATGAAAGTTGGTGGGACCCTACTAGGAGAAAAAGAAAAAATGGAATCCACCCATTTTCATGTGTTTAGGAGATAAAATTATCTTATGTTTATAAGAAAAATACTATATACATATGAGAAAAATATTTCTCAAGCAGCTTGAATTATATTTATCTCCGTCCACTTTAAAACTACGTCATTTTATTTATTTATTTTCTTATATTAATTGATTTACATTTCAATGGTTATGATTCCCTTTTTCTCTTTTTCTTTATCATCCCGAATCGATCTTTGTACGATTATGATTTAGTAGCTGGAGATAAAGTTATCTCAAGCAGCTTGAGAAAAGATAAGCCCTATATATATATATATAAATGTGAGACTGGATCAACTTACATCGGTGTAAGAGTAGTATCTCTTACACTCAATCTTAACCGTTGATTTCTGTTCATCAAACGACCTTAATTAATTAGATTATTTTCATTAATTAATTATAACCTTAGATATGTAAAAAACAACGGTTAAGATTAAGTGTAAGAGTAATAACTCTTACACAGGTGTAAAAAGATCTTACCTCTCTATATATATATATAGGGGAAGGTTCTTTTGACTCTAGAGTAAGACTTATAAGTCTTGCTCCTCATCTCAGTCATTGATGGATAGAAATCATAGTTGCCATTTATAATATAATTAATTAATTAAGGTTTGATATATATATATATATATATATATATATATATATATATATATATATATATAGGAAGGATATTATTACTACTAAAATTTTCTACTACCAACTCACTACCTATCTAAT